GAAGGAGGAAACTATTTAATTTATTTTATTAAAATATTTATATCGATTAATTAATTAATTAATAATATTTATCACACATTTCAAATGATATTTCAAAATGGAAAACAATACAAAACAAAAAAAAAACGAATACAAGCAAATGAGAAAAAGATATTAATATTATAAATGTATTTCAAAATATATGATTATGAGTTTTTCTTGCTTTTTGCATATATATGTATATCTCTCTATATAGTATATATCAGAACACACCAAACTTTTGTTTCAAGATTGAGTTGGATTTTGGTTACCTTTACATTCTGTTTGTTTTCAGATGTGGTTCTTGATTTTTTGAATTTCAATTCAGACTATGTTGGAAGTTCTTTCGGAGTTATGATTGAGTTGAAATGTATTGCTTTCTCGTTGGAACGTTACAATTTGGGTTCTCCTTACGTTTTCTCTATTTGTCATTTTTCATCTTAGACGGATTTCACTTTGGTTTTTGGTTCCTTTCTATCAGTATATATATTTTTACAGTGTATCTCACACTAACACACAGCTACACAACACACTCTCTATTTCTATTTCCAAAATTGATTTCAGTTTGTTGTGTGCCCCCTCTCGAAAAGAGTATGCTCTTTGTTTGCTCTTATGATTTCGCTCAGTGTATTTTGAACGTACGCTTCTTTGGTCCCAGTGTATTAATCCAGCTGAGAAGGAAGATTTAACGAGATGATGATGTGGAGGGCCTTACTTTGAAAGGAAGACAATCCGATTCGATTTTGATCCGATTTGATTTGAGTTGATTCCCCTTTCGTTCCTTTCGTTGTGGGCCGACTATATATATATATACATACATATATTCCCGATCGATCCGTAGCCGATTTTCGTTTCCGGATTTCCGATTTTCAGTTCGTTGTTGCAGTTGTTATATATTGTTGTATTGTTCGTATACCTCACTCACTTTTATTGTTTCGTGTGATTTTTCGGTAAGTAATCAGAAAGATAGCGCATCGGAGATCGGACCGATCTGGCGCCGATCTGTACTATTTTTGGCACACATTTTTTCCCAATAAACATTTTGTCAGCAAAACTGATGATTTCTCTAAATGGTTTCTTTCTCTTTTTATTAATCTATTTGTAGCAAAATAAAAAAAAAACTGTAAAGTTAACACATGAAAATCCTGCAGCAAAAAGTATAATAATTTACGAAGCATTTTCTAATTTGTTTCTTTCTCTTGATTTATTTTCAGGCGTGTGTTCTTGTTGTTCGTTCGATTTTGAATTGAATTTATGCAAAAAAAAAAGCCAAAAACAAACAAAATATATTTCAAACACATTTCTTCAAGTTGAATTTCGATTGAAATTATTAATTGATTACTTGGTTAAAACGATAATGATTGTGTAATTATATTGATTGATTGATACTTTAATATTAATTGTAATTATTTAAAGCATAAACCACAGATGTCCCCAGATCCCGATCCCCAATTCCAGATCCCGAAACCTCAATCAATGTACATATGATGTACATACCTGATTTGTATTCCCCACACATGTACACACAGAGAAACACTTACGTTTTGTATTGTAATTTCAAAAGAAAACCTTAGCGAGCCACAGAAAATTTTCAATTTCAAAGAACTCGAATTTGAAAGCTTTTTCTAGTTTATAGACTTGATTTTCAACCAGCAAAGCACTATCCACCATCCTCACACCAACCACTATCCATTAATATCTCAGAAACTAAAATTTTTTAACCAAAAGGGTAGCCAGACAGCCGAACTTTTATAACTCTGAGTACCTTAGATTGAAAATGTTTTTTCTTTGGTGCAATAATCCATATTTATATCAAATTATTTATATCGTTTTAAACATTGAATATAATATTTGGTTTGTATCTTTTGAAAAAGATTGGATATTTGTTCGATTTATAACAAAAAGAATTGATCAATTTATTCTGTTTGGGAAATATTATAATTTGGAGTTATAAAAATTCTGCTGAGTATTTATTTAGTTGGTCAACAGTCTTCGTCTGATAATGTATATAAATCTGATTTCGATTTTCGTTCTTATTTCGGTTTTCATTCCGTGCCAGTCATTCTGTCCGTTCAATGTGATTATTTGTGATTTGTCGTGTATATGGGAGTATTCCTATTAACCAGCCTTTGTTGTATATTTTGAGTTCGAGTCGAGAAGAGTTTGAGTTTTTCACAAAGCCACTAAACCGAAGAACAAAAGCACTACCCACGCCAAAACCCCGCCCCCGAGGACCCATGTAAAATGCCTAGTTATAGAGCGCTATATATAGATACGATTTTAGAACGCGAGAACGTAGAGCTCGAATTTTCGTTTGATTTCCGGGGATTCCCCGCAGCTTGGGTTCCTTTTTTAACTGTGATCTGTGATTTGATCTCTCTTCAGTTAACTTGTTTTCTACCTTCTCGACTGACTTTCCAATGCTTGGAAGAAAAGCACGAAACCGAACTGCCCAAGGCAAAAAGCAATGTGTAAATTAATAATCTATAAATAAGCAGATTAAAGGTTGATAGCAACTAAACCCAAAGACTGAGGCAAGCACAAAAAATACTATGAAACCAGAGAAAAACAAATCGAAAAACAAGAGTCAAAGCAAAGAATCAAACCAAAAAAACAAAAAAAGCAAGTAATTCTTAGTTCGTTAAGGCAACTGTGATAAGGCGAACAAACCCCGCCAAAAACCCCCCACCCAGCAAACCCCCACCCCAAAAACTCCCAAAAAAAATCAATATATATAATATACATAATATGGAATAAACAACCCCCCCGAGAGACTTAAGTACGACTTGTCTAGCTGTAAGCCGATCTATGAAAAATGTGCTTTTCAAAACTGTGTTGTGTATTTGTGTTTCTGCATTAGGTCAAAAGGATTTCTCTAAAAAAGGGATCTATAAACGTATAACATTTAAAAAAATATATTTATAGATTTTTTGTAAAGAGATCTTGTTGAGTGAGAAATGGAGCACAAATAGGCAGCCCAGGAGAAAAGCACACTATTCTAACACTCACCAGTTGGGCGCGATATCCTGGAGGCCGGCGTGCTGCCAGGTGGTGCGGAGCTGTTCCAGCAGAAAGGACACGGGCATCCCATGGATGTTGCCCGACTGCGAGGTGCTGTGCAGATTGATGTCCGCATGCGCGTCGATCCACACCAGCGACAAGTTCGGCGTGTGCTGTAGGTGTCCGGCCACCGAGCCTGCAAGAGGGGATTGCGATGCCATCAGGACGAAGGATGCGAATGCGGATGTGGAAGACTCACCGAAACCGATCGCATGATCACCGCCAATGGCCAGGAACTGCGAGTTCTCCGCCAGCATCAGCTGCACCTGCTCGATCAGGGCACGATTGCAGGCCATGAAGTCCGCGTAGTTCCGGATGTGGTGGTAGTGCACCCGCTGCTGCTGGAGAAGGGGCTCGTCCACGGCGTACTGCAGGTTTCCGTAGTCCCGTATCACCAGGCCATCTGGGCAATAAACCATTTATTTACACCGCAACTTTAAAACTAGTTTTATTAATGGGGAGCATTCAACATCATATCTCTGATCAAACAATTATATTACAATCCTTAAACTTCATAGAGACCATAAGGTGAGAGTTATTCAAACGATCAGTACCACATTGTATCACTCTATATCACATTTCGGATCAAAAAATTAAATTACAGTCCAGTAAATCACAGTGACATTCCATATAATATTTCGGATCAACAAATTATATTAGGATCCTAAAACTTCATAGAGACCATGATGTGAGAGTTATTGTAAGGATAAGTACCACATTATAGAACTCCATATCATATTTTGGAACAAAAAGCTATAGAAGCATCCTTAAACTTCATAGAGATCATGGTGTGAGAGATATTCAAACGATCAGTACCACTTCATCAAAAAATTATGTTAGAATCCTTAAACTTCAGTAGCACATTATACTTGAAAGCTAAAACAGTGAGGGGTACTCAGAATGAGAGATTACCGGAAAGACAACGCTAGTTTAGTCTGGTTTTGATATTGTATTTTTGTTTACCAAGTCTGACCTCAAAAGCGAGATCCCAAATCGACAGGGAGCACGAGCACTTAACTCACCATGACTGCTCTGCAGCACCTGACGCAGGCTGCTCTGGCGCAGGAGATCCGGAGCCAGCTCCACGCCCTGTTTGCCCTGACCCTTGGCGAAGGGCACTCCAATGATGCCCAGAGTCTGCTCCGGTTCCGTGGAGGCTGTCCTTCTTCCGGTGCTCTTGGCCCGATGGAGGCGCAGACACCTCGAGGCTAACTTACGGCTCCACCACATATTGCGTGTGTGCTTTCGGCCTGGGGATCTGATGGGTTGGCTCTGCTCGCAACGCTGGAAGATCCGCAACTGAGGAGCCGGAGTGGAGGAGACAACGACGGCAACCACAATGAGCACGAATGACAACTATCTCTTGGGCTCTGGACCCCCTGATAAAGCTTGTGCGACAGTTCAGCTGAGATCGGCGGACATTGTAGTGGCTGTGTGGATGGAGCGGGAGCCGCTGGATGGGCGATAAGCCGGCTATCGCCAGATGACCTTGATCCTGGCTCTGACGACGACAGCGGCGATGGCCAAAGCGACACTCTCCACAAAGGCAAGACTTGGGCATACTATTCGACTTCCTTAACACCGAGATATGTCTAACAATCATTACTATCATGGCCAACGAATTTCCTAATCATTTCTCTCCATTTCAAATTAATTTCATATGACACGAAAAGAAAATAATACAAAGTAATATGAACCATTAAACAGAACCTTCAGTTAAGTTCATCCTAATAAAATATGAAAACTAGTGCAAAGACAGATAAATATAATACGAAATAACAGTGCAATATTTCCTTTAAAACCTTTTACAACCAGATAGATATTTTTTTGCTGTGCACATGGAATACTTGCACCCAGGAAACTACCATGTGATTCATCTGATCAGGAAGCTTGATATTACCTTAGAATTTCTCTTTCCGCCGTTTCGTAGGTACATTATTAATTTATTCAGATAGTTGCTTACATAGTTTTAATTGCCATACTTGTGGATATGTATACGATATAAGTATGTATATATATATAAGTAAATGCTGCACCTTGTGGAATATATTTTGGTTCCTTCTCTTCATCTTTTTTACTTCTTTGTCTTTCTGTGCTCTATGTAGCTAAAATCGTGCAGTTATTTTTATAATTTTGTGTATATTTGTATTTAATAAGTTAGACATATCCAAGAAAATATTACAAAAGCTGTTAACTGGTTGGTTATGATTCTCCCTAAGCAAGCTGCACATTTGTTTTTCTTTTTCTAGCTGTTTTTGTAAAATATTAGGTTTTTTGGAAGCTAGATGAATAGATTTGCCAGATTTATGCGTACAGAGGGTTATCGTTTGAGGGACTACATATATATGTAGTATAATATATGTATATTGGTTTATATGCCATTAGATAGGTTTATTAAATTATTAAGTACTAAGATTGAAAGTAATTTTTAAAATGATCCTAAGAGCTTTTGAGCAATTAAAAATTCACATTGATATTCATCAGTAAAATAAATAGGTATGATTAAGTATTCACATTAGATTCGAATTATACTAGATACATTTAAAATATTTAAAAAAGATTTTACTCCATTTAAGAAACTCAAACCGCTCTGTAGGCATTCGGCTGTGATCTGTTGGTTCTATTTCCCAAGATTCGCGTGTTTCATATCTCTCTGCACATCCTTTCATTTCTTTTTTTTTTTGCTAGAGTAGCAAGGCTCTCAGTCTTAAGTTAGGTTACGGTTACGCTTACAGTTCTCTTGGCTGGACAGATAAATATATATATATATATCTCTATATAAACGGGCTATAAGGACATGGGAGAGAGATTCGCCGAGTGGGTTGGAGTTTAGAGTTTGGAGCACAACATTCTCTATTTAAAGCTGACGATTGTGATGCATTCTATGTGCAAGCTCACTAACATTAAAGCGCAGACGTAAATCGTATCATTGTATATCGAGTAATTAGGTTACATTTAGGGGGTATGTATATATGTATATTACACAAAAATAAAAAAAAGGTAGAGCAATGCTTGCGTTGGTTTCTCTTGAAAACGTTTTGAATCACAGTTATGTTGTGTGTGGTTGTCGTGTAGTTGCAGTGGATCATGGATCATGGTTCAAATGGTTCCTGGATAAGACAGACAGTTGAGATTGGTGGTGATCGATGGGATCGTGGGGACATTTAGTGCCGGCGCTTGTTCCCATGGTTGTGCAGCATCACTATCTCGTCGCCACTGTCGTCGGCCACATCCAGTTCCGGCTCCATGTGAGGCCCATCGTCGTCCTCCTCATCCGTGTGCAGGATGCGCTCCAGCTGCTCCTCATCGAAGTACGGCTGTATGGTCATGCCACCTAAAGTGGGAGATAAGTCATTAGTTTGGCGACTTAATCAGTCTTCTCAAACTTCTCCCCAACTTACGTTTAATTGGCGACCGGAAGAGCTCCGTCTCCCCATCATCACCCGCCTCATCGTCATCCAGATCGAACTGCTCCTTGCTCTTCTGCGGCAGTAGCGAGAAGTTGTAGTACGGCTTGTTGCCTCGGTGGCGTCGATAGAACCAAAACTGGGCGCACAGCACACAGACGACCACGCCGACAATGATCAAAATACTGGCCAGCAGGATGAACAGCAGGCGAGGGAGTCCAAAGACATGCTCGTTAACCTTCAGGTGGAAGACCACGTTTTCCGTGGGCAGGCCACTCTGAATCAGGTGCAACTGTCGCGTGGCCTCCAGATGACGCGGTGCCTCCACTCGCAGGCTGATTGTACCCAAAGGCACCGCCGATATATGGTACTGACCCATGCTGTTGGTGAAGTTCCTCAGCTGCGTCTGGCCCACCACCGAAACCTTAGCATTCCGCACCGGATGATTGCTCTCGTCCAGCACCACGCCCGCAATGCTAGTGGTGGCTCTGTTGCCATTATTGGGCAACTCCATGACCACGCCGCGAAGCAGCGTGTATGGATGCATGCGTACGATGCCCAAATCTGTGATTTGGCCATCTTGTACGTCCACCTTGATCATTTGCGTCTCGTAGTTGGGAGCGGTCACCTCCAGGCCATAGAGGCCATGGGGCAGCATCAGTTGGAATCGCGCAGCATTCCTCGTCACATTGATGATCCTTTCGTGCTCCAACAGCCGGACAAAGGCTTCCCTAAGCGGTTGTCCCTGGTCGTTCTGCACCGAGCCAGTTACTCCTGTCTTCACCAGAGCCAAGAAGTTCTTGATCTTATCGATGTTCTTGCGCCAAACGGATGCGATTTGCTTGTGGTGTGGCATCCGGCAGCAGGAGATGCCCAAGGTGTACACCGGTAGGTTGTACATGCGGTACATCATATTGGTTATCCTATCAGTGGTCTCCCGATGAGCCTGCCTTGTGGCTGATGGAGGACACTGGAGGGGCGAGTAGTTGAACTCGGTTCGCTGCATTCCATGGGCGAACTTCTCCAGCACCGAGTCTCCCTTGGGATAGCTCAACTCCGAGCTGCCGGCTCCAAAGGTGAGCATCAAATCAAAGCGTTCGCTGCGCAGGAACTGCAGGAACATATCCTTGGACTGGTCTGTCTCCGGATTGAGAAGGCGCTCCGCCAGCTCATCGCCCAGGACAGGATCGCAAATGGAGGAGCTATAATATGGAATACAGGGGAATACATTAGTTTCTAAGCAGAAGGATTTATAGGGGACTATCTCACTTGGCATTGTACATGTTGAAGACATCATCGAACTTGTTAGTCTGTGGCAGGAAGTAGATAACACTGCGCTTCAGAAGATCGAGCACAGTGGCGTCCTGCAGCTTGAAGCCCTCGACCAGGTGACGCACCAGGTTGAGCATAATTTCCCTGCCCAGGGGAGCGGCTGTATCGAATAGGGAACTCACCACCAACAGCTTGTACTTGTGCTCCTCGGGCTCGCCAATCTGCAAGAGAAACAGGTCAGTGGAAGGATTAGGGATACAAATTTCCACTCACATCAGAGGTCATCTTGAGGTAGTTAAAGTATCTGCTAAACTCATTGTCGGCATAACCAAAGCTGGCAATCTGTCCATTCTGGTTCTCTAGCTCCGCCAAACGGGATCGAACCTGGGGGTTGGTGTGATACCTTGTGTTGACCACGTTCTCGATAATCCTGAAGTCGTTGGCGGAGGCCCAATGCTGCGGATCGTCGGGCATGAGGGTGACATCCATGCGCATCTCAAAGGGCTCGCCCGCGGGCACCTCCACCTCCACCCGCATCGGAGCATAGTTGTCGCCCAGAACGGTTAGATTGTGTCTACCCGGTAGCGCCAGCTTCCAGTAGTCTCCGAACGTTTGACTGTAGCTCGAGTGATTCGCACCATCCAAACGGACAACAGCTCCCGCGATCGGAGTGCCAATGGTGCTGTGCACAAATCCATGGATGCCATGATGGACTTGCTCAATGAACTGGATCAGCGGTTCCCGATGATCCTCCCAGTACTGCGGCAGTTCTGCGGCCATGGGGAACTTATCGCAACCCATTTCGATGGTCAGCTCCAGGCATCCCGCCCTCACATAGTTCCAATCCTGCATGCCACCAGTGACACTGTACCACTGAGCTCCGTTTGTGACGCCATCGGTGAAGTATTCGTTGGGGAAGAGCGGGCACGGCTGAGCCAAGTGCATGGTGGGGTGGGCCTTTGAGTAGATCCCGGCCAGATGTCTGAACAGAGCATTGTCCTCCGTGGGATTGGGCTTGCGTCCATTGATACTGGAATTCCGCAGCCTCATGAAGGGATCGTTGAAATCATTCTCGTTATCATCGAATGGGTAATTGGCCACCAAGGAGCCGCCGTGCAGGTTGGCGGACAAAACAAAGGGCAGCGAGAGCGTCCAGTTCATCAGGGCGGCCACCTCAGGCTCCGTCACCTTGTTGTACCTATCGGTGCCATATTGATCCGGGAAATTCCTGTTCAGGTCAATTCCATGGGCATTCGCTCGTCCCACTCCGCCTGTTCGATCGCCCTCGGTGGAAATCTCATAGCCATCGGGATTCATGCTGTACAGGAAGTGCATCCGGGTGCCATTGACCAACTTGGTTATCCTGTCGTCGTTGCCGTAGCGTTCCAGCATGTATTTGGTGAGGAGCAGCAGGCATTCCTTGCCCACCACCTCATTGCCATGCATGTTGGCCACGTATTTGAACTCCGGCACGCCCGGCATATGGGAACCCGGCGTGGCAAAGATCTCCAGCACCCACAGTTCACGACCCTGGACACTCTTGCCAATGCTGTAGAGGCGGGTGAGCGAGGGATAGCTGGCGGCCATGTCTCTCAGGAAGCTGGAACAGAAAGAATAAATATGGATTAGATGGAGTTACCTGGGAAATGATATATATGATTATATATTGAAGCTTATATTACTTTAACTTCAAATAAGAGGAAAACCACTATATATTAAACCATTTAAATCCATTGTAATTACTTTATAACACCTATATATTTAATTTTCTGCCACCATATGGAGGCTTTCAATAAGAGGAGTGCGAATATACAAGACATATATTGATGTGCCCTGCTAGATGACCCAAATTCTCACCTCTCCATGGCCGTATAGTTGTGGTGCTCGAACTTGGTGGGGGTCAGGAATCCGTTGAACTGCTCCTTGCGCTTCTCCGGTGGCTCCGATCGTTCGACCTTTACCTTCCGGAAGTTGCCTGCGGGAATGGGAGAGCGGAAACGGAAATGGGTGAGGATCTTGTATGTGTGTGTAAGCATGCCAGTTTCTCAGGTTTTTAGGGGGTGCCACATGCGGGTGCCTGGTGAAATCGGGGTGAGGTTTGGATGCAGTGCGTCTACAATTCAGCGGCGGTAGAAGCTGAAATCAGCAGCGGAATCACAAGCACAAGCGGATGCATAATTTCGTTCATTTATTTTGCCATAATTTCATAGTTCACATTTATTTAAGTTAAAATCCAAGTAAAATGCCAAATAAAATGCTTGACTCTTGTACGATTAAGTGCCATACACATACATTCATATAGCATATATATATATATATATAAAACATATCCATTTCGAAATCTAGAAGTATAGTTTGACTTTTGGCACACACGCTTTTCATTCGTTTTTTGATTTTTTAGGTACTTAGTGGAATATACAATTAAAATTCTTTAGATGTGACTCGACGTTTCTCGGACACGCCCCCAACTTTTAAACGATCGCAGGGCAAAGGATATATACAAATATATGAGGTCGGCGAGAGAAACTGAGGGAAAAGAAGACAAAGACATAAGGCTTAGACCAACATAATGGGTTTAATAAATAAATCAGACAACTAAAAACAGTCTACAATATAAAAAAAAAAATCAAAAAAAATATGTACATTAAAAATATAAAAAAGTTAGCCCAATAAAAACAATATGAACAATCAAAAAACACAAAGATATGGCATAAAAAATGTAGTGGCATACCCAATAAAAATTTTTTTAATATTAAATACCAAATGAAAATGAAATAATGAGCCTTGGATGAAAATAAAACGCACCAAGCGAAAATCATAATTTTATTCATCCTTAGCAAAGGATTCGTGGTACCCCTCAATACTTTTAGGCCACTCCATTACTCTTCATTGGATTTTAGCCAGGTCTCGTCAACATCGTACATATACATATATATATTTAAAAGCCATACATGAGCATGTGTGCTACATTAATAGTCGGATCGTAATTGATAATAATTTCGCTTTACTTTCGAAGGTTCGATTGTTTTTTCCTTTTTTGGAGAAATGCCCAACAATCGTTTCTGATAGGATTAACCATATGGTTCGCATATAATCTACATATATCGATAGTGATATCATATAGAGCGGTGTGTGTATAAAGTGGGTATATATGCGTGGGTTTTTGTGTTTATCATAGTTTTTTGCTCATCGTTGCTAAAATACTCCACAATAGGTTTTTGGGATCGGGGAAGATAAGGGGAATGGAGATCAAGCTAAAACCGATTCCTATTGATTTTTTGTATCTTGTTCGTGTAGGTCATTCGATGACCTTTAGTGGGCTGATTTCTTTATAAGTTCCTTAGTACAATTCTCTTACTCGATTATTGTAATTTATTTCGTTATTTTTGGTTGGCTATTTGTATTTGTTCGATTTCTTATTTAATTCTCTATGTACAAATTAAACGTTTTTTTGCTGAGTGTGTGCGTGACAGAGACAACGATAATGGTATAGGAGATAGAGAGAGACAGAGAGATCGCTAACATAAGCTGGCAGTATAAGAATTGCTAAAAACCCAGGAGATTCCAAAGTGAAAGTTTATGAAAATGCCACATAAATGTATAAATGAACAATAAGAGGAGAAACATATATATATATGGATAAAACGTATTCGAGAAAATCCCAAAACCGATACGATCCCCCACGAGAACCCAAACATTTTATATTTTCTTATAGCTCTCGGGGGGAAACGAATCGTAGTTCCGGGTGAAGAGGACTAAATTAACATGCCAGAGGGCTAAGGATCGGGAAATGGCGGAGGTAACATATATATACAGTACAAGGAAGGTGCGGAGTGAGCAGGAGGAGCAGGCCAACTAGGTGCAGGTCATGGCATGGTTATATGTACGTGTGTGTCTGGTGTGTTTGTGTCTTTTTTTCTAGCTGGCGACTAAAATATATATGCGCATATATATATGTATATCCGTTGCAGCCCTCTCTAGAAATAATAGGGACTGTAAATACTGCTAATACCATCAAAGTTCGTCTCGACGGGCGTCAGCTTGAAGTCCAGCCGCAAGGCCTCCTGATTCTCATTGGTCACCCGGACTTCTTGAGGGGCACTGTTCTGGTAGCTGCATTGTATATGGTAAAAACGAAACATTATCAACCAATTTGGCACACAAAAAACAATCCAGAAACGCACCCAAAGGCGGCGGCATGCACGCTATAGAGTCCCGGGGTCAGCAGCCTCCAGTATTCGCCACGCTTGGAGGTGCGCATCGGCTTTTGCTCCAGTCCGGCCACATAGATGTTGGCATCCGGAATGGGGAAGCCACTGACATCCGTCACCAGACCCTTGATGCCGATATGCGCCTGGCGCAGCAGCTGCAGCAGCGATGCCTTGTTGCGCTGCCATTCCAGGGGCAGAGTGCTGGCCGCCGGATACTTGCAGCAGGACAGCTCGATGGTCAGCTCAAAGCAGTTGCTGAACGCATAGTTGAAGTCCTGCATTCCGCCGGATAGCTCGTACCAATTGGCTCCGTTGGTGATGCCGCCCGAGAAGCTGTCGTTGCAGTTGTTGCCCTTGCTCATAATGGGATGGTTGTCCGAATAGGTGTGGGCCAGTTGCTTGAAGACCCGATCGTCGGGGGTCAAGCTCTCCTCACAGCACTCGTTGTGTGCCCTGCAAGATGGAAAGATGGTGATTTAGTTTAATCCCCTAAGCCACAGGTGCTCCAGAAGGAGGCATTTTGCAGAACCTACAAGGAGTTATCGTAGGGATAGCTGGCCACCACAGCTCCTCCATGGAAATTCGCGGAGAGCACAAACGGCTTGCTGACGATCCAGTTGACCAAGGCCGCCGTTTCCGGCTGACGGGATTGGGCGCGCAACTGGTGGACATGGCTCTGCTCCAGGCGATCGGGAAAATCGCGATTCAAATCGATGTTGGCCGCATTGCCACGTCCCACATAATTGGGCAGCGATTCGCAGTTGCCCTCCTGCAACGAAAGTAAAATTAATACATTTATTAGCAAGGTGTATGATATTTGTATTGGAAAATAAGACAACCAAATTGTTATTAGTTAACATTTACAAGAAGTAGGAAATATTACCTAACAAGAAGGTCCATCAATTTAAAATATCAAACTTAAACGAACTTTCAGGAGGTATGTTTTAAGGTGTGCCAAAGTACTCTCATATTGTAAAAGCGTCATAAAATATACAAATTCCAAACGAAGACCCATTTAATAAGATACATTTTCAATATATCCACCCCAAACTTAAACAAACCTTCAGGAACTCAAACGAAATTTCAAAATCATGTAAAAGCTTCATAAAACATATTATTTCCAGAGGATGACCATGGATGATGGCAAAATACCCATCTGTTTCGAGCTAAAGTTAAGTTTCTCTTTCACTTTATGGGCTGATTGGCATGCAGGTCACTCCTGACCGGAATTGACCATTTAGCATGGCAGTCAGGTGTCAACCCAGTGATTGCACCATAACAATCGCGGCGAAAGAAAAGCCCACGGATCGATATTCGATAATAATATTGTGCAATGGAGCGGAAAAAGAAAACAGAACGCATCATCAGTGTGTCCCCCCCTTTTTCCTGGCCAATCGGGACAGCAATCAATCAATCAATCAATCAGAGCAAAAACTATACACTATGGATGGACATCGGAAAGTGGAAAACAACACAATTAAATCAGAAGGCCGGACAAAAGGGGTTCTTTCCCGGGACTGTGGACTATAGACCATTGCACAATCAACAAATTACACCATTAGAGGGCCAACTTAAATGGATCATGTCATCATTATGGCCACAATGATCACGCTACCAATCGGGAGCTAGCCTGGGAAAACATACAAAGGGCTGGCGTGGAGTAAAACAAATAAAACGTGCAAACAGTGCAGAAAATCCCCTCGATTCAAGTGATGAATCAGTGAAATTGGAAGGCAAATGGGTAACACAAAAAGTCGGTTCTTTGTTTTAAGGAATATACAAAATATTTTAGAGTCTGCTTATACAAATAACTAAAAAAAAACCTTATCAAAGTTTGCATTTCAAAATACAAACATTATATGAATCATATTTATAGCAATATTTTTAGAATAATTTATAAAAACGTATGAATATTATTCAGAGGAAAGTCTGCAGGTCAATTAAGAACCTGTAAACTAACAATTCTTCTTGATATAACGCCAATTAAATTGAGTAATATTTTTCAATTTAAACCAAATTGGGTTAAGTTCAGGAGACTGTTTTCAGAGCATACATATATACGGTATGTATTTGCTTGCACATTGCTAATCAATTGGAAATACCCGCAAGAGCATCGGCCAGATTGTTTATAGTATTAATCTGACCTTTGGGGCTGTGGCAACAACAATGACAAATCGAGGGAGATAGTCTACAATGATTGCATGTTTGTGTTTACTCCACATTAGACTTCAAGTGGTTAACGATAAACAAACGGGCCGAAGATTGGAAATCAGGTGTGTCTCTAGCAATATGACAACATTTTCAATGGGCAGTGTGCCTGGCCTAACTCAATTGATAAAAAAGTGCGAAGTTTTGGGTGAGCTGTGTACCTATTTGTTTGTTAGCACAAAATGTTTTCAATGCAAACGTCTCATAAAACTGGTGATGATAGCAACTTGTAGTATTAATAGTCTTATTTCATACAGTTTTATCAACTCTAGGAATCATAAACATTGCTGAAGATAACATTTTGAGTTGTCTTTTGGAGAGAGGTTTTAGGGGTCTCTTGAAATTTTGTTGATAAGTAAACGAATATGATTTAGTCATCTTAAAAAAACTATTCAAATTGACTCATTTGTGATTGGGTATACATAGGTTTTGAATTTTGCAAGTCAAGCTGCTGGTTCTTAAACTGCCTCCAGACTCCTTGTTGCTTCAACCAAAGATAATATGGACTATTATTATATATTATAGTCTCTGCTTCCATTAATCCCATATTCCTAATTTTTTCATAATCCTACACCGACCTTATCTATCTCCCCAACTTTGTCCTTGCTCAAAATCAGCTATTTCACGATGTTCCCGAAAATCGTATAGTGCTCCCGTTCTCACTCCCAGTTGGTATCCACTGCTCTCGAGATGGAACCCCTGCATTGCTCACGCTCGCACTTCCCAATTCCCGAAGTTTTCCCGAAAAACACCACCCACTTATCGATTTTTCACCCCGAAAACAAAACACGCGCCCCAACAGGTGACCCCTCTCTGTGGGTTCTTTACCTGGGACAACGCATAGCCATCGGGATTCATGGTGGGCATCAGGTATATGTCCGTGCTGTTGACCAGCTGGCCAAGTTCGGTGATCCTTTCGTGGTTCCCCAGGAGATATTGGGCCAGGTAGACCAGGAGCTGTCGACCCACCGTTTCGTCGCCATGCATATTGGCAATGTACTTGACGGGGGGCGTGAGGAGATTTCGCGACCGAGTGTTCCGTGAGATCTGCAGGACCAACAGATTCCTGCCCTCCAGGGAGCGACCCAGGTAATGGACGCGGGCCTGGTCGGGATAGGCCTTCTCCAGTCCGGCGAACAGGTCCTCCAGCTGTTCCTGGCTGACGTAGTGCGGCTGCTGCAGAAAGGACTCGTCCTCCTTGATGATGTAGCCTGTGCCGAGCGAGATCAGCAGGGCCATCGAAATGGCGACGAACAGGAGACCCAGAGATGGCATCTTGTGATTACGGATTGCGGATTGGGGACTGCGGATGGCGGATTGGGGCAATCTGGTCGAGATTGCGTTGTTTTTATCACTGGCGTGCGAATTGAGCGAGATACAGTTATATTCCTTCGGCAGCCCAGCAGCAGCTGCTCGCTCTCTCTCTCGCTCTCTGGTGCTTTTTGCTTGTCCGTCGGGCGTCCGTTCGTCGTGGGTCGTCGTTGCAGCTCAGCCTCGAAAAATCAACTGTTTGAAAATTTGCTGCGTTGATTGGCCTTAAGCGCCCATTCGCCCGCCGCCTCGGCCGCCAACGCTCTGCCGCGGTCGACGTCGCACAGTGGAGCGCAGCGGAGAGGCCACAAAGAATACCAGATGACTAACTCAAAAACACCAATCTATATTTCTCAAGAACTAATCAATATGGTTTATGCCTCAAAAACAAAAAATTATATAAAATTAATTTTAAAAAATGTCTCAAAATAGAAGATAGTAAAAATGGTCATAGTTATGAAAGTTCAAATAATAAAATAGGTCAAATTTCAAACCAATATTGTTCAAATGTTTTTACAATTGGAATAGAAAAACAATAGATTGCAAGGAATATCTGATTCACACTACAGTTTTGATACCAGAAAACCAAAAGAAAAGTTTTTAAATATGCTCTATAAAAAGATATTCATTCGCATTTCTTTAGATCCGAAATAATAGAATATTATAAAATATGTAAATTTTCAACCATTTAGCGGTCGTTCACCCCACTGTGCGGCGTTCCAAGAGAGCAGCCCCAAAAGAGAGGCGCTAATTGCAGGGAAATTACACGCCGCACCGAGCGCCAAAGCCATCAAAAAACCGCTCATGGAAAAGCTTTACTTTTTTCGGCTGCCACGGGATTAATAGTTTATAGTTTATTTAGGGGCTTTTAATTGTGTTATTATTATTTGTCGGAGGGGGAGTTGCCAGACTCAAAAAGTGGGGCGCTTGCGCATGTGTGCGTGTGATGGTGGAGAGAGAGCGAGTCAAGAGAGTAACGCACAGCGCACGTCAACAGGATATTTTTACACGAAAATCGATAGCGTGACTCCCACGCTGTGACGTCACAGACAGCCCATCCTGTGTGCGTGGGAGACAAAAAAAAAAGTAACCACCCACCCAAACATACATGCAGACATACGCAAACACCCCTTATCGATAAACACACGAAATTGGCATTCACAAAACTGAGAGCGACAAATCGCTGTTATCAGTGGAAACGAACAAGCATATGGCCACTTTCCAGCACCTTTCCAACCCCCTTCTACTAGCTATTTCCATTGATTAACGATGGGTGCGAATACAAATGTTTAGCTCCGATCTGCTTATTGGAAAGCTGCTCAGTGGAAGAGAGAGGGGGCTGAGTGGCCACACTGGAATGCACTTCCTTGAGGAATTGCGGTTTATTCAGGTGGTGAGATGCATACGAAATGCAGATACCCTGCAATGCTGAAATATTTTTAAATTCTTTTGTATTTTTTAAACATAAACCTTTAATAATTAAGTGATCTAAATTTATAAAAGCCCAGCTAATATAGAGTGAATAAATTGTTATATATAGCTTAATGGGGAAAATCAAAATATATGTAAATAAATAAATATACCAGTTAAGAAATGGGTGCTGGGTATCAAGACGTAAGCCCCCGAACTGGTTTAAAGCGCTGATAAGAAATCATATATAAATTACAAGCAATACGAGTCTGATCAAGACACCTGTATTTCAAAGTATCTGCATAAAATTTACACGTCTTCTCCAGAGATACCTCATTTACATAATTTGCATTATGAGAGCGAACAGCTGTTGATTGGCAAGTGCACTCGGGCAATAAACAAAATTATAAATAAAAAAAAAAGACTGTCACCGCGCGTGTGCAGCGGAAATTGGCAAACTTTTTAGCGCTCTTAACTCTCGGTAGCAAAACCCCATCATCGAAAACAACAACAACGAACCGGTTGCGAATAAAGTGTCTCAATTGCAGGAAAATAAGTGAATAAAGCACGAACGTCATCGGTGGTTTACTTCTGTTGCCGTTGCTGTTATTGTTATTGTTGTGACATCTAACCAGTTTCTTGTAAAGTAATTGCCTTTGCCACCCGCTCAATGTTCCACCCCCTGTCATGTCGTCAGTAACTTTTTTTTGCCGCCGTGCTGCAATTGCGAAATCATGACGTCAGCGGACCGACAAACTATGTTTACTTTATCACCAGATTATTGAAGAGGCCATAAAACCGTCATCCAAGATACGCACGAGCGCACACGAAGAAAAATAGCCAGGGATTCGGCATTATCATAGCCATATCCTGGGATTAAAGACAGTTTAAGAACTGGTATTATAAGATCAGAATTTAACACTGTCTATATTTATATAGCATGGTATAAGCATGATTAAGGACAGGAATACGAAAACCAAATGGGATCATTTAAGGTATTATATCAGGATTTAATATTGAATGCTAAATTTGGAAAAGAGTTTTACATCGAACAACATAAGATACTTTTAAATATGATATTGGAAAGTTACAATTCAATATTCTGCATGTACCATTATTATGTTATTATCATTTTCGATATAAAGTTTAGTTATTTTAAGCACATTTCATTGTAATGTTATTTATCGGGAATAGACTATATACTTTCTTCCAGTGCATATCATACTTGGCAGCCTGCAAAATTTGTTTACCAACATTTTAATCTTATCTGAGTCAGAAATTGACCATTGAAGTGTCCAAAAGCGAAGGCCATTCGTAATATTTAGAAGCGCAGCTATAATGCAACAACTGAAACTCCCAATTTGAACAGCTTTTCAAATTCATTCAGCCATTAAGGCCCATGTGCAATATTCAGTTGCCATTAAGGCAAATAAAAAACCAGACAAGATCCACAAAGATCTCTGGCAATTAGAACGCTGATAAGGCTAATAACAATGGTCGTTTTATTGTTTTTATTTTTGCGCTGTTGTTTGCCCACTGAAACTGAACTCGAACCTTGGCAGCGCGTAAAAGTGGGCAATCCAATTTCTTAATATCATCAGATAAATCTCAATTAAAAATTGCTGGGATGTGAATATCAAGTGAGATTATGGAAATAATAGAGCTGTGTGGCGTCAAGAAAGCATTTTAATTAACTAAAAATAAAGTGTTGCTATTCTCATTGGGGATTTACTACAAATAATAAAGGGAATTTCCAATAATTGATAATGTTGAGAACTTCAGTGCAAAAAGATAAGACAATTCGCTGAATTCCTTTCTTATCAAAGCGCATACGACGAATTAAAATAAAATAATATATAATAGGCTCCTTAAAATCGGTTTATGGTTACATTATGGCTTTTAATCCCAGAGAAAGTGAATTCTTTCTTCTTAAGAAAAATATTATGTGATGTCACGTTTGCGGTGTATTATCTCTTTCGCTTTCCATTGTTTATTTTAAAAAAATGAGACCTCTTTGGAAACCATTACTTGAGTCCGTTGAAGAGCTCTTGGGATCCATTAAATGATTACCAATTTGAGGGGCACTCGAATGGCACTTTACCAAAACTTCGAGAGAGAAGAGTTGAAATGCAGTATCTCACCTAAGACTTGTGATGTTAAGATGGAATTCTTAGCTGCTAATTGAGTGATCATTCACGTTGGTTAACCACAAGCCGGAAAAAGTGGGTCAAAACATTCCAATCACACATTCTATGTAGTTGGGGCACAAGATCTCGTTTTTCTGGAGCGTGTAGATTGCTTGTAGCTCCCTCTCTATCTCCTAGTTCACTCTTTCTTTGCGGTAAGCAAAAAAGACCAGCTCAGAAAAAAAGCTCAGCAGATCGAAAGAGAGCATGGAGAGATAGAGGTGTCTATATGCACTGAGAAAAAACAAGGGACCCCATGTTATTATATAAGCCATATAAATATGATAATCTACAGATAAAAGCTTTTCTAATTTCGGAAATTTTCGGTAAAAAAAATAATATTTGATAATTAGAAATCGTAAAACAGTTTAGTTAAAAGACACTACATATTTATACAGTAGTGCAAATCATATGATCTTAAGAAAAATGCATTGAAAAGTCGTATCATTCCATTAATAAATGCAAATTAAAAGAGAAAATTGCATAAAATTGGTGACTATTGGTTGAGATATTTTGTTCAATCTAAGTCAACAGGTTTTTTGTTCGAAGTGAATGCTAATGAATAATTTAATTAACATTTTGTGAGTAAATATGAATATATTAATTCTCTTGTGAACTTTTCAGGAGAGTAAGTTCTATATAACGAAAGCTTTATGGTTACCATACTTTTTTCTCGGTCTATTGCGATCTATAAACAATAGATGAAAGGGGTTAACAATGGGGTGGGGCATCTGGCAGTCAGTTTACAATCACTTTTTGTTTTTTACTGCACCAGCTGTTTTTCCCCCTTTCTTTACCTTTTTTTCCATCGATTCTTGATTACTGAGAAGTCAGAAATAAAAAACTAGTGACTCACCTGGGCTTTGGCGAATCCGTCGGGATTACAGGTGGGCAGGAAGTGGATTTCGGTGCGATTGAGCAGCGCCTGGACCTCCGTATCTCCGTCGTAATGGGTGGCCAGATACTCGGCCATATAGAGGACTATCTGACGACCCACGGCCTCGTCGCCCCGAATGTTGGCCACCAGTTTTACCATCGGTCTGAGGAGATCTCCGTCTTTGGACTCACCGGTGGGTCCGCTCAGGGCCAGGGCGTATATAGGTCGATCCTCCAGGGACTTGCCTATCGTATAGGTCTGTGCCAAGTCGGGATAGTCTTTGGCCAGCTGACTGAAGAGTTCGCCGATCTCCTTGTTCTTCAGATAGTGCGGATTCTCCAGAAAGTTGTCCACTTCCTGGATCACCCGGACCTCACTGTATTCCCCAGCCGCACAGCCGAGGATCAGAATTAGCCATAAACCCCACATTTCTGGGGTTTCTTAGGGGTTTTCAAGGGGGTTTTCGGGATTTCTGGACACGTAGGCAGGCAAAGAACAACGAATATATGATAGCCAAGGACGCAGGCGCACCAGATTTCACAGAAAGTGGTTGCTGCGAGTGGCGCAAATTAAAATGTTGGCAAATACCTCAAATTCACTTTCTTGCACTTTCTTTCTCAATGCAAATTTTCAAATATTTTGCCACAAATGTTGACACGACACGCACACACTCGCACGCGATCACCGACACGCCGACGCTTACACCTACACGCACACACACACTCGAGCGCACACAACAGCCGCAGAATATTTTGCTTTCCTTTTATTTCACCGCTTTTCCCAGTGATTTTCCTCAACAGCCGACAAACATTTTCACGCTCCTCTTAACAGCTGCGTAAACAAATCCATATTATCCGCAAAAACAGCCGATAAATATTGTAAACGAAACTACGCGATCGCAACCGCGACTAGGGTTGCCACACGATCGTACGGCGTTGCCAGAGGGTTGATGCTCTATAAAAATACCACATATACCAGTTTTCCCCTTTTTAAATATACCAAAAATATCGCATGGCTTGCAAAGAGATGCCAGTAGGTTGGAAAATTCGATCAGAATGGCGGCAGATTTGAAAATAAGAATATAAAAAAAAAACAAAACTTGAATGGGCATCATACATGAATTGTACATTTAATTTGTTTTAACATTCTCCAATTGGTTCTGGTATCACAAGGGTTGTATGAAAATCAAGAGAAAGACTTCCCCCTTCTCTTTGGGCTTAACTTTTATTTTTCTCTAGAATTCAACAAACGGATCTCCAAACGTGAAACGAACACAAGAATAACCAAAAACAGGTTGCCATTGTGTGTATTGTTTGCTTGGTATCATTATTTAAAACGTGTCGTATCAAAAACTAGCTCAAAATACGATTATGTTAAGGCAAATTTTGGAAAAGTGCATTCAGACATTTCGGTTCGTCGTAAAGTACGCTATTCATCCTACTCTAAAAGTCTGTGTTGAGTGCATTTTACACTATGTTCTGATTTTGATAATGGTGATCATCTTGATCATCTCCCATCACCACCAAAACCCAAAACATAGCGTGAAAAGCGCATTAGTGTGCTTACAATTGGGTGTGGTTTTTCTTCGAGTGTATATATATAAAGTATAGGATCTGTTCTCGAGTCTAAATGCTTGGTGTGTCTGTGTGTTTGCGATATATAGTTACACAGTTGATTGCTTCAGATTGGTGTCTATATAGTCCCTACTTTTCCGCCCCCTTTGACACATTTTTCGCTCCTTGTCGGCCCTTGTTCGCCTGGGAGGCCAATCAATAAGGCTCATGGATTATTCATGACACCCACTCCCTGCTCCGTCGAGGGCTTTTCTGGCTTTTTGCGACCCTTCTGGGAGCTGGCTATCCGCTGTTTCAGCGTGTGGAATGTCTGCTGCATGCTGCGCATTTGGTAGCGTATGGAGCTGCTGACGTCACGCTGCAACTGCTGCACCTCCCGGATGTCCTTGCGCAGATTCTGGTACTCGTTGGTCACCTCGCTCATCGACTCGAGCAGCTCGAGGACCTCCATTTCGTCCATCTGCTCCATCGTCGTCTGTTCGAGGCTGCGCTCCACCGCATGCAGTTTGTGGGCCATCGTGTAAAGCTGCGAACCGGCATTGGCCACCTTGAAACAGGGAGGAATTGGGGTTTAAGTATGGGTTATTTGGTTTTTATATTCATCGGATAAATATAGTGTTATTGAAACCAAAAGGACGTGAATCAAATTTCCCCAGAATTTTGCTTATACAGCATTTTTATTATGTTATAAGAAACAAATTTTAAAAACATTATGATATTATGTTTTAATTAAATTAAATTGCGATCAAATTACTCGGGGATCACAACATTTTTTTTGTTAATAAGATTTAAGTAACAATTTTGAAAGCACTAAAATAAATTATAAAAGATTTTAATATACATCTCTAAATTTAGTTCGTATCTACATATTAATATAAAGAATAATTAAATAAGGAATAATTAATAATTTAAATACCTTAAACGAAGATCTTTAATACTATTTTTAGAGCTAGTCTATATAGTGATCTAACGAGTCTAGTGTCATTTTTATAGTCTTTAAGTAGTACAACATTTGCTGCCTGCTTTTGGGCGCCATCCGAAATGAAGTACTTGATGATTTATTGTTAGGGCTTGCCCTGTAATTGACCCCTTTGAACCGTACAATTTTCTCTCACTGCACCCCAAGTGCCTATCCCACTGTGTTGATAAGTGGCTATTCATATTTTGCTGGTCGATTAACTCACCGATTTTTCCAGGGCACTGATGTCCTGGTAGCCCGTCGTGGTCTCCATCTTTTCTAGATCCTGGAGCTACTTTCGGTTTCAGCTTTCTGGCATGACAGTGGGTAGTAAATCAGCGTAGTAAATCCGAACTGCGCAAAATAACAGACTGGATTGTTGTTGCCAAATTTCGGGAGCCTCGGCTGGAGCGTTGGCACTCCACTCCAAGCTCTCCAAGCAGAGTGAGCGAGTTCTGCGGGTCGTCCTGCTATTTATATGCTCCTGCACACATGTTGGCTTCCGCTTCCGCGAGAGAGAAGGCGAGAGAGCAAGTGATGGCGTTTTGTGGCTACTTAGGCCACAGCATTGAAATTCCTTAAAAAGGTTCCCAAAAGTGTGCTAATAAAAATAGGACTTTCTGCATTCTATATCTACTTAAGTGATTGTAAATTTCACATATATCTTTTCTTATCTAGATGTCTCACTATTTTTTTAATAGCCCTAAGTAGGTGGTTTAATCAACGGTATTAAGTTCTCGAAAAAAATTGATAACTTTAAATTTTCTGAAAATTATCTTTAAAAATTCCAATATTTTGTATACAAAAAACAAGAATTAAAAAAAAAACTTTTTGAAATGATAGAAAGTCTTCGAAACATTATCTTTTCGACTTCAGCTATTTAGCTATGGCATCACTTTTGAAAGAGAAGAAGGAAGCGTCTAGCGTCCTATTGAAAGTCAAAACAAACACGCTCCCCAAAAAAAAAAGAGAAAGCCAGACATTTGTGTGTGGTTGCATGGATTCCGTTTCACTGGATGTAGGGAAAGTACTTTTAATTATGTTGACCAGGAAGCGGAAGTCCGAGCAAAAACTTTGTTTGCCCCGGCGAAAAGCGAAATTGTTATTTCAATAGAACAAGCGCCTAAAAGTAGGCAGCACCACTTTCATTTACAATCGGATCTGCAAGCGCTTTGGCGTTTTTTAGCACATTCAGGCCTTTGTTTACCGTTATGCTCACAAGGGATTTTTTAAGGGTGTTAGGGATATTCAATTAGGTTAATTAACTTTCTTTTCCAACTTTAAGTAAGCCTCGTAACTATTTAATGAGATTTAGTTTTAGTTTCACTTACACAGAAGCCGGTTGACACGTGCCTCGGAATAAAAATACACATGCACATTAATGGAAAAATACACAAATACAACCACATATGAGGTTTTGTATCTCCGCGGGTGTTTATAAATACCCAATAAAGATTATATCTATCCAACACCGAAGACTTTATGCGCTTTCATACATTTTACAAATTAATTCATGGCAATTTAAAAATTGGTTCTGCATCATAATGTACATATTAATTATTTGAATATCCTAATTAGCTAATTTCAAATATTTTTATGCTTTCGTCATTAGCTAATATTCTCTTAGAGCAGAAAAAGAAGATTTTTTTTATAACATATTTTTAAAGTTCACTGGATAATTTAAAGAATATTTTAAGGAAACGTAAAGAACTGTTTTTTGTGCTTTCGTCACTAGCTAATGTGCCGTTCCAGCAGGGAAATGACTGGAAAGACAAACATCGCAAAACAAACTCACATGCACGAACACACACGCACACAACGAGCCCCCAACGACGGCAAAAACCATACTGATAACAGCAATAACAATTGGAATATAACGAATACAACAGCTGGTTCGCCAGGTTCTTAAAGGTGTGTGTTACTTTATTTGCTATCGTTAGGCACTTTTCGACATCGTGGTCTTCGTCGCCTCCGTTCTCGCCATCATACCATCCAGTTTTCTGACTCGTATATCAACAATCACACCACCACACACCACCGCACACCATATAATATAGTGGGAATATAGGAACAACACACAGGCCCCCACATCGGCATCGAAAAGCGGCGGCTGCGTTCAGTTCTAGTGGAACCACCGTTTGGCGAGCACGCGATCCCCGCCCCAGTTCTCAGCTGAATATCCCCAAGATGTCCCTGGTCCGTTTGATCGGTGCTGAGGTGAGTTCTACGGGTCGAGTCTTATGGATTTTCTATAAAACACCAAAGAATTGCATTGCCAGTGCTGGAAAACGGAATCATTATAATATTTCCCAGCTCACTGAAGATGTCTCTCAATTTGCATGCGTGTGTGTGTCTGACCGTGAACTCTCCAATTGGGAATATACAGTTTAAAATGCACTTGTATACCCCATCTCACTCTCACCTTAATCAATTTAGAGCAAAAGCTCTACAAGTGTGCGAGAGAAATCGCCCATTGACAACAACACATGTTACGTAATGTTTCGCTATAGAACTGAAGAGCAAGAAGAAGCACAAGTAGATAAAGTGAAAACAAAAACAATTATAGCGGGGGACTTAGCGCTAGAATGTTTGAACTGGCGTAAAATCCCATAAAACGCGCTAAGCGGTATAATTCCATGCGAGGCGTGCTATAAAAAATAGACGCATGCCTGCCAGATGGGCACTGATAAGCCCCCAAATGCCCGCCCCCTTGAGGGTTATCGACATCCAAAAAATAAACCTCACCCCACCGATAACGAAATTGTCCAGGGCGTTGAGGTTAGGGTTCCGGCCACTTGGCAATTTGCATCGCATATCAAAGTCAAGTGCAACAAATTAAATTAAATTACAAAAGCCACTGAAAAAGCTATTTAACTGAGCTATTTCGTTTTTTTTTATCAAATATAAACAACAAAAATTGGGAAGACAAGTACATTGGATAAACTGCATTTTAAAAGTGATATTAAATTCAATAAATATTTCCCTTGTAATATGTTTTTACATCGGATGTAAATAAAATATGTAAATCATAGAATCAGAAATCGTTATCGTTTTAAGATTTTAAATAAAGCCGCGAAATAAAGGAGAGCGCAGTCGCAGCGCCCTCTGCTGGCAGAGTCTTTATAATTCCCAAGTGCTTATTCCTCGAGGCGTTCGCTTAAATAGAGCTTGCTCGTATCGATTTTCGGCGGTCGAACGCCTCACAGTTATCAAGGGTTGGTCACTTTTCCTGACTAATTGTGGCACTCCCTGACCCTTCAAGCGATTGTAAATATGTAGTCAATGATCGGATTATACCAAACTGTGTACAAAGACCACGAGCAGATTCTCTAGAGTTTTACAAATAGCCAATTTTAGGAACACTAACTGTGAGGCGCGCTGGATATGGGAACCCTCCTCCCCACCAGTGATCGCTATTTTGGCATAGCTAACTTATTTCAAAGATATCATATATCATCAGTCCCTAAAAGACTATTATTTGTAATTATCAAATCCTAAGTACTTTTACTATACCAACTTGTATCCCTTTTTCGTCACCAGGCCCGCCACCTGGCGAAGAGGTCATACTCCTCGGCCGCTCCCACCACCAAGCTCTTCATCGACGGCAAGTTCGTGGAGTCCAAGACCACGGAATGGATCGACGTGCACGACCCGGCCACCAACAAGGTGGTGACCCGTGTGCCCAAGGCCACCCAGGCCGAGATGCAGACGGCCCTCGAGTCGAACAAGAAGGCCTTCCGCTCGTGGAGCAACCAGTCGATCCTCTCCCGCCAGCAGGTGATGTTCAAGCTGCAGGCGCTGATCAAGGAGAACATGGGCGAACTGGCCAAGAACATTACCAAGGAGCAGGGCAAGACCTTGGCCGATGCCGAGGGCGACGTGCTCCGTGGCCTCCAGGTGGTGGAGCACTGCTGCAGCATCCCATCCTTGCAGATGGGTGAGACGGTGGCCAATGTGGCCAGGGACATGGACACCTACTCGCTGGTCCTGCCCCTCGGTGTGACCGCCGGTGTGGCTCCCTTCAATTTCCCGGCCATGATCCCGCTGTGGATGTTCCCTGTGGCCATTACCACCGGCAACACCATGCTGCTGAAGCCTTCAGAACGTGTTCCCGGCGCCACCATGCTGCTGATGGAGCTCCTCAACGAGGCCGGCTGCCCGCCCGGTGTGGTCAACGTGATCCATGGCCAGCACGATGCGGTGAACTTCATCTGCGACGCGCCCGAGATCAAGGCCGTGTCCTTTGTGGGCTCCGACCAGGCTGGCAAGTACATCTACGAGCGGGCCGGCAAGAATGGCAAGCGGGTGCAGTCCAATATGGGGGCCAAGAACCATGGCGTCATCCTGGGCGATGCCAACAAGGAGAACACCCTGAACCAGTTGGCAGGAGCCGCCTTCGGAGCTGCCGGCCAGCGGTGCATGGCCTTGTCCACGGCCGTCTTTGTGGGCGATGCCCAGTCCTGGATACCTGATCTCGTGGAGCGCGCCCAGAAGCTGAAGGTGAATGCCGGCCATGTGCCCGGAACGGATGTGGGACCCGTCATCAGTGCCGCCTCCCGGCAGCGCATCAATGAACTGATTGAGTCCGGTGTGAAGGAGGGAGCCAAGCTCATCCTGGATGGCAGGAAGATCAGCGTGCCCGGCTACGAGGATGGCTACTTTGTGGGACCCACCATCCTGAGCGACGTGACGCCGAGCATGAAGTGCTACACCGAGGAGATCTTTGGGCCCGTGCTGGTCATCCTGAAGGCCGACACCTTGGACGATGCCATTGACCTTGTGAATGCCAATCCCTATGGCAATGGCACCGCCGTCTTCACCACCAATGGTGCTGCTGCCCGCAAGTTCGTCAACGAGATCGATGCCGGCCAGGTGGGCGTGAATGTGCCCATTCCCGTGCCGCTGCCCATGTTCTCCTTCACCGGCACACGCGGCTCCTTCCGCGGCGACCACCACTTCTACGGCAAGCAGGGCATCAAGTTCTACACCCAGACCAAGACGGTCACCCAGTTGTGGCGCGAGACGGATGTGACCCACACCCAGGCGGCCGTGGCCATGCCCACCATGAAGTAGGCGTATCTGTAGGATAGTCTGGAGGAGGATCCCGATAGGGGATCTAATGTTCCACGTATTGAATTTCTGGTTGCTTGCACACAGGACGTATTTAGAAGCTAGATATAGAGAAATTATTGCATTTATTTTTGTGCCTGTTTATTAGATTTAAGAAGATGTTAGAGACAACAAGAGAAGCTTGAAAAAACTGAAATGTAAACGATAGCAATAAAATGTTTGAAAGTGTAAAGGTGTTTTTCAAATGTTTTTGGGATGTACAAATAGATTTTTCCGTACATTCATCTGATATTTCATTTAAAAAATGATATATTTTAAAGAAGTGCTTATTTCTAAAATTAAACTGATGGGTTCTTATAAATGGTTTAAAGTATTTTGAACTTCTTTTAACGAGACTTCTAAGACTGTTTTTTTAAATACTTAAAATTTTAATTGAACGACCTAAAATCGTCAAATTCATATAATAATTAATTTAGAAAATGTCCAA